AAGATTAGTACTGCAAAGTTGGGCCTCCAAAGTCTATCACAGGAATCCCCTATCAAAAAAGAACACATCCCACTTGATATGAAATTATTCACTTTTAATACAAACTCATAATTATTTTGGTTCTTTAGTCCTCAACCACAAATATCATGGCACTAGGCCTTAAGAGAATGTCCAATATGACTTCAAGTGTGATGTAAGAGGAAAAAGTGGAGGCCCACTGGTAATTCTATAGAAGCTAACTTGAAAATTTATCCCAAAGCAATCTTCCTATATAATTATACTCTTCCAACAGACTATAAAATAATAAAATCATGCCAGAACATTGCCACACCATTTGATAAGAAATGCTATTTTTTAAAAATTAAAAAGTGCTAAGTCCAACCCCAAAATTTCAAGGCATATTATTTTTTCTTTTTAAAATGCCATCTGTAATATGATTTACCCAATTTATAAAAGCATTCCACTTGACAAAATAAAAAGCAACCCAACACTGGTCCCAGATTTATTTTTAAAATTTGTTTGATCTAAAATCTCACTATCTAGAAACTAATCCTATCTAATAAAAGATAAACATGGTAATTAGCCGTACATCCGCTACCCTTCCCATTGGCTAATCAGGGCGATATGCAAATTAACCGCCAGCCAAGATGGCGGCCGGCAGCCAGGCACTGAAGCGAACAGGGAGGCTTGCTTGCTCCAGTGACGGCAGACTCCAACGTTCCCCGCCTGACTTGCCGGCCTCTCAGCTGCAACTCTAAGCAACTATGTTGCAAATACAGAAGCTAAACAAAACCCCAGAAACCTGCTTTATTCAGCCGGACTTCAGCCAGCCGGATCGCAACATTGTATCAAATACAGAAGGTAAACAAAGGTCAGAAACCTGCTTTCAGCAGCCGAGGCCTCAGAGCTAAAGCTGGCCCAGAATAAAAAAAAGAAAAGAAAAAAAGGAGCGGTTGGGAGCTTCAGTCACCCGCAAGCCTGAAAACGGCCCTTAGCCCCTCAGCCAGACTGGCCAGGCACCCCAGTGGGGACCCCCACCCTGATCCAGGACACCCTTCAGGGCAAACCAGCCAGCCCCCACCCGTGAAGCAGGCCTCTATTCTATATAGTAAAAGGGTAATATGCCTCCCGGCACCGGGATCAGCGTGACAGGGGGCAGCACCCAAACCCCCTGATCGCCCTGCGGCTCTGTGTGTGACAGGGGGTGGGGCCACAACCTCCCTATCCGCCCTGCTCTGTTCGTGACAGGGGAAGGCGCCCCAACCCCCTGATCAGCCCTGCTCTGTGCCTGACAGGGGGCGGTGCCCCAACTCCCCTTATCGGCCCTACTCTGTGAGTGACAGGGGGGAGCTCCTCAACCTCCTGATGGGCCCTGCTCTGTGCGTGACAGGGGGGAGCTCCCCAACCCCTTGATGGGCCCTGCTCTGTGCATGACAGGGGGGAGCTCCTCAACCCCCTGATCGGCTCTGCTCTGTGTGTGACAGGGTACGGAGCCCCAACCCCCCTGATGGGCCCTGCTCTGTGCATGACAGGGGGCAGCGCCCCAACTCCCCTATTGGCCCTACTCTGTGAGTGACAGGGGGGAGCTCCTCAATCCCCTGATCGGCCCTGCTCTGTGCGTGACAGGGGGCGGCGCCGCAACTCCCCTATTGGCCCTACTCTGTGAGTGACAGGGGGGAGCTCCTCAATCCCCTGATCGGCCCTGCTCTGAGCCCGACCAGGGGCTGCACCTAGGGATTGGGCCTGCCCTCTGCCACCCGGGAGCAGGCCTAAGCCAGCAGGTCGTTATCTCCTGAGGGGTCCCAGACTGCGAGAGGGCACAGGCCGGGCTGAGGGACCCCCCTCTCCCCCCCGAGTGCACAAATTTTTGTGCACCGGGCCTCTAGTGTTTTATATTGTCATAAACATCTACCTTACAGAAGCAGCAGGGCACAAAATAAACATGACATATATTATAAAAACTTCCCACTTGAATATTTCTTTACTGGCTTAGCTAATTCACTAACATCTAACATACTAACTAGACCAGGGGTGGGCAAACTTTTTGACTCGAGGGCCACAATGGGTTCTTAAACTGGACCGGAGGGCGGGAACAAAAGCATGGATGGAGTGTTTGTGTGAACTAATATAAATTCAAAGTAAACATCATTACATAAAAGGGTACGGTCTTTTTTTTTTTTTTTTTTTTAGTTTTATTCATTTCAAACAGGCCAGATCCGGCCCGCGGGCCGTAGTTTGCCCACGGCTGAACTAGACCCTTAAAAAGAAAAAAATCAGGTGGCAAAATAGACAAGTAAAAAAGATCACCCCTTATATTACATTTAAATCATGTTATAGGGAAATAACCAAAACCAAATCCCTAAAGATGAAAGAAGGCAAGAGGCTTGCTCAAAAGCAAATATAACTGAAACTGGAAATTACCCAGATAGAGAGAATGGCCTTTATTTCCAACTATAGCCAGTATTTCTCGCTGTAACCAGCAAATGGTTTATTTTCCAAACTCAATTTATTTCTTTGATTTATTTTCCATGCAGCTTATTTTTACATATGCCGGGATGATTGTTTTATTTATTTTACTTACTTATTAATCCTCACCCAAGGATATGTTTATTGATTTGAGAGAGGGAGGAAGAGAGGAAGAGAGGGGTAAGGGAGGGAAAGAGGGAGAGAGAAACATCAATGTGAGAAACATTAATCAGTTGCAGCAGATTCAGATGAACCTGCAATCTACTTATGTGCACTGACCGGGAATCAAATCCACAAGCTTTTGGTGTATGGGATGAACAGGACGATGCTTCAATCAACTGAGCCACCTGGCCAGGACAGGATGAATGTTTTAGAAATTGGTATTGGAATCAAAGGGTCTTTAGTATGCTCTGTGCGTCTCTTCCTTGCCTCAACTGTTTTTTAAAAATGTATGTGTACCTTCAAATATTAATGAGAAACCTGCAAAATATCTTAGTCTTTTCTTTTCTGGTATTTTGGTAGTTCAGGCAGTCTGAAGAATAAACGAGAGAAATTGTACAGCCTGACAGTTAATTTTCACTTATAATACTTTTCTTAAAAAAAAAAAATCATGGTAACATCATATAGTTTAAATGCATACTATAACAAAATAAGCTAAGTACTGAAAAGCCGCTGTCCAAATATTAATGGTTCCAACAATTCTCTTCTCTACCGTCTTCTTTGTCATAAGTTTTTCTCATCAGCAAAAGTATTGTAACAGCTATATCTTAAGAAAGATTCCCCTTGAAACAGGCTATTTCTCTGCCTACCTTTACAGAAAACATTCTTTGATAGTATATCTACAAGTTTCCTCAATTCCTTCCCTCCCATTCTCTCCTGTATCTGCTCTGATCAGAATTCACTCTTCTCCCTCTAACAAAACTGCTCATAAAGTTCTCCAACAACCCTGACCCCCATCATATACAATGGTCAACTCTCAATTTTGTCTAACTTGACCTATCTGCAGCACCTAAGACATGATCATTCCTTCCTCTCTGAAACACTTTCTTCACTTGCCTTCCACATACCACACTTAGTTTTCCTTCTACTTCACTAGTCACTCCACTCCTTCCTCCTACTCTCTTCCTTATCTTTCTTATCTACAAGCCTTGGAATGCTCAAGGCTTAATTCCATCTGAACAACCAGATGTTCCTCATTCCTTTCCTCTGCTGCATTTTTTTCCTCCCCAGCACTTAACATTATAGGACATAACGTAAACTCCATTTATTATTTTTTTCATGAGATTAAGGATTTTTGTCTGTTTTTGTTTAGTGTAGTCCCAGTACACAGAACAGATATAACTCATTGTAGGAGCTCAATACATATTTTTGGATGAGTGAATGAACAAACAAAAACAAGTAATAACAGCAACAGTCACTTTGTACTAGTAACTTATGAGCCAGACACCCCAATAAGCAAGTTACATGCATTTCATTTAACACTCAAATAATCCTATGAGATCTCAGAGGCTGGAGGTAGAGTGGGGGTGTTGGAGGAGGTATTAACTTGCTCCAAATCACAAAACTAGTGGCAGTGCCATGATTTTAACCCAAGTTTATCCTCTTCAAAGTTAATACTCTTAACCATTACATGATATTAATTTTACTGGAGTATTATTTCATTAGTTTTGGGATAAAGCCAACTCTGCTATTTGAAAAGTCAGCAATCAAACTTCCTATAGTTGTGAATCAATCTCCATTTTCTCTGTCAAGGCAAACATTCATTTAGCAACCAATTTAGAAATTTTAATGGAAATTCGTATTTAAAAGAAAAGCATTCTATGTTACCATTTTTAGTGATAACAGTACAAATGAGAAGAGACACCAATGTTTTTCAAAATGTTGATGGCAGCATTTCAACTTCCTCTATCCCATTTCGATTAAAAACCTTAAGCCGATAGTTTCCAAACCTGGCTGCAAAGTCACCTAGGAGTTTTTTGTTTTTTAAAAACAAGATTTCCAGGTCTAACTCAAAAGCAAGTGAATCAGAATCTCTGGGAAACAAGGGTTAAGGAGCCTAGTATTTTTTAAAACTCACCAGGAAACCTTGGTGGTTGGCCAAGTTTGGAAAATATTAGTTAAATGAAGCAAAATTGTCAAAAGACTAAAACTTCTGAGCATCTGGCTTATCTATACTAATAAAAGGGTAATATGCTAATTCTGGACAAAGCCTTAGCGTCTGTGAGGCCTGGGGTTCACGGCAGCCGTGGGCTCAGGCCTCTCAGCTGCTGCGACCGGCAGTGGCAGCAGCAGCGGGGTGATAGGGGCAGCGCCTTCCCCTGATCAGCCCGGTCGCCTCCCACAGAGAGAGGCCAGACTGCTCCCATGGGGAGTGGGACTAAGCTGTCAGTAGGACATCCCCTGAGGGCTCCCGGACTGTGACGGGGGCAGGCCAGGCTGAGAGACCCGCCCCCCCCCCCCCCACCCCAGTGCACGAATTTTTGTGCACCAGGCCTCTAGTGGTTTAATAATGATCAAACCTCACTGGTACTAACCTTCTTGGAAAGAGGAACGATGCTGTTGGGTCGAACAAGCCTCCGTTTCTTACAGCTCAGCAAAGGACGTGTTCGGGCTGCCACACAGGTGCCATCAGTTGATGAAGAAACTAGATTCAGTCGTTGTTTTTTATGTAATTGTTCCTCAGCATCAGAGTTGTCACCTGGAATGTGGTCTGCCAAGACCGGCTGCAGCCTACACAAGAGGAAGGAATAATACTCACTTTTCAGAAGACTCACAGAAACAAAGCCTCTAATATTGGTTCAACCTCCTCTACTTGTAAATAGCCACAGACACACATAAGTATTCTGAAGCAGGAGTTCATCTCCTGATGCTGATGACTGGTAACCTTTAGGAATTTAATTTGTTCTAGAATAGAGGATTTTATGTAAACACTTCTGAGGAATTCTACCAACACTATGACCAATCACAGTGTTTCACAATAATTGTAGGACCTTTCACTTTTCTACATGATGAGTCAATTTTAGGCGTCAGTAAGTAAAAGGGAAATACATTAGCATGCTAATTATACTTGCTACAGCAGAAGATGTGCACAATATTATTATGTGATGAGGTTTCTGTCTTTAAACCAGGGTTAGCCCTGGCTAGGAATAACTTAAGAGCTCTTTTACAAGCATATTGAGTGTAAGAAGTGGAAGAGATAACTTACGTGTTAATAACTCCATTGACAGGTCTCAATGCTCCATATGATTTGGTAGATAATGACTCTGAAGAATGACCAGAGGCACCATGGTTTTCCAGTGGCTGAGAAACAGACTCAGTCTGAAATAAGAAAAGAAAACAAAAATATATTATCAACAACATTTAACCAACAGCACCCAGTCTGAAATACAGCACCATTTCATTTAAATAAAATATGTAAAATTTCTGATGAACAACTTGAAAAATGAAATTTGTATGACTAAAGAAAAAAAAGAAAATTAATTAGCTTTTGCTTTGGGAGAAGTGGGTGTGTGGAATCATAATATTTAGCAGACTAATAGTAGTAAGTGCTTACTGAGAGGGAAATGACCTAAACCAGTGGTTGCCCACCTTTCGGACCTCACGGACCACGGGTTGGCAACCACTGACCTAAACAATTCAACGAAACAAAAGGTTAGCAAAAACAATTACATAAGAAGTAACAAGAATCTTCAACTAAAGGTCAAGAAGAATATGTAAGTTCAGTACTGAATCAAATAAGAGGAAATTTAAATGACTTATTTCTACTTAACTTCAGTGTCTGCTGAAAGCCTGTTTCCAGAAAACCATAATTTGTTCAAAATTACATATATATTTGTGTTAAAAATAAAAAACCAATAAAATCTCAATGAATAACTAATTACCCAATGTTATCAGGTAGTAACTTCGGACTATACAAATCTAATATATGCTTAGAAACAGTAAAAAAAATTTTAAAAAGGAAGGTGGAAAGAATCTGGAAAGTTTTAATTTAAATATTTTGAAGCAAATTATATATTTACTAGGCTCAGAAGGGATAGGGTTAGCCATGAGATGTCAATCATATGGAGTCTCTGAAGTATCTATAATAATAAAAGCATAATATGCAAATTGACCAAACGGCCGAATAGCGGAACGACCATCCAGACGACCATGCTGTGACACCCACTGGCGCCAGGCCAGCCAAGGCAGGTGCGATGTGATTGGTCAGGGGTCCAGCCATCACCCCATGATTGCCCTGCAAAGGGAGGCCCAGGGAACCAGCTGGCGGGGTGATCGATCAATTGGGGGGGGGGGGGTCCATGATCGCCCCAAAGAGGGAGGCCCAGGCCACCAACCGGCGGGCTACAGCGGGTGGGTGGGGCCTCCCTCTTCAGGGGTGATCCATCACAGAGCCCTGCAATCAATTGCCCCAAAGAGAGAGGCCCAGGCTACCCTGTGGCGGCGCTGTAGCGGGTAGGCAGGGCCTACCTCTTTGGATTGATCCATCACGGGACTCCCAGACTGAGGGCACAGGCCAGGCTGAGGGACCTCTCCTCCCAGTGCACGCATTTTGTGCACCAGGCCTCTAGTAGGCAATAAAGCCACAGATGCAGTTATCCCTCAGCTCTGTGAGCTCTGTGAGTTGTTGGAATACCACAGTATGGCTGTGCTCCTTGTCACCTTACATTTAGAATGACTTAGCGCGTGTTCTTAAGTTCTCCTTCCTGCATACCAAAGTCAATATTTTTTATTTTTTTTATTTCAGAGAGGAAGGGAGAGAGAGAGAGAAACATCAATGATGCGAGAGAATCATTAATCAGCTGCCTCCCGCACAGGGGATGGAGCCCACAACGTAGGCATGTGCCCTGACTGGGAATTGAACTGTGACCTCCTGGTTCATAGGTTGATGCTCAATCCCTGAGGCACACTGCCTGGGCACAAAGCCAATATTTTGAGCTGAAATTCTATTAAATATTGCTCAATTTCGTTTTTATCTTTTCAACGACAGGAGAAAAACACCCAAGGATCTGCCGTCTTGAGAACAGTCATAGACAAGTATCAAGAAAGGGAAGATAACTTAAAAGTTTTAATACAAATTATCAAAAAAGTTAGATCAAAGTAGTATATAAACAGGTAAGACATACCAGTATACTACAATGAGTGAACACTGGGAAACTGTCCGTCTTCTTCTTCAGCTACCCTGTACATCTACTAAGGCAGTGGTCGGCAAACTGCGGCTCGCAAGCCACATGTGGCTCTTTGGCCCCTTGAGTGTGGCTCTTCCACAAAATACCATGTGCACACGCGCACGTACAGTGCAATTGAAACTTCGTGGCTCATGCGCAGAAGTCGTTATTTTGTGGAAGAGCCACACTCAAGGTGCCAAAGAGCTGCATGTGGCTCGCGAGCCGCAGTTTGCTGAGCTGCAGTTTGCCGACCACTGTACCAAGGTATCACAAATATCTTGAACAATTACATTAGTTAATGATGCCAAAATTATGGTAAATTGGCACACATCTTCATTGCCTTAAATGTTATACTGATTTTCTTTTGAAAAGTAATGTGACATTAAGTAGTTATAAAGATGTTCAAATCTTTTGATAAAGTATTTTACTCAACACTAAAAATCTATCTTAAATAATTCAACCAACACTTTCCTGTTGGGCACACCAAACAAGTCAGTCCAAGACTAATGACGTGGCAATCAGCTGCTAAAATATTCGCTGCTAGTATTAGTGAAGAGAAATGGTGGGCCTGCACATAAGGCGCGTAAGGGAAATGAATGCAACACGATTATAGTAATCAGTCATTAGCGAATGTTGTAGTGCGTTATTAATAATTAATAATTATGTATATCAGAATATTATAAAAATTAAGTTACGATTTTTTATTAAAACGTTTCTTACATACCATTATATTGGCTGGGCCGCAAAAATATTCACTGTGGGCCGCATGTGGCCTGTGGGCCAGGAGTTTGGCATGCTTGCTATACAGGATGAAGCTCCAACGAACTGAGCCACCTACCCAGCCAGGGCTGCATCCACTGTTTTTTTTTCACAGGTTGGGCTCCTTTAAAATAACTTAATTTGAGCCTTGGCAGATATGGCTCATTTGGCTGGAGCATCGGCCTGTGCACAGAAAGGTGCTGGGTTCGGTCCCCGTTCAGAGCACATACAGAAGGCAAGTGATCAATGTTTCTCTCTCTCTCCCTCTTTCCCTCCCTCTCTAAGGCAAAAAAAAAAAAAAAAAAAAAAAAAATCCACATGTGAGGATTTAAAATTTTTCTAGATAAAATAACTTAGTTTCAGCAATATCTGTACTGTGCTCATAACCAAAGCAGATAGGTGTGTGTGTTCTCTTTTTGAAAAAGTCATTCAATTTGGAAATGAGGCAAAAAGATGATTGTGTCCTTTCAGTGTAACACTGGAACATTATCTAACAAGCCCACCTAAAGGTCATTATGACTCTCCATCAATTATTTAACTTTGTTTTACTTACTCTTATAATTGATGAGTGACCAGATGCCTTAAGTTGGATATTTATATTTAGAATATTAACAAGCTAAAATGAATGGTTTATTTTTTAATCCTCACCTGAGGATATTTTTTCCATTAATTTTTAGGGAGAGTGGGAGAGAGAGGGAAATATCAATGTGAGAGAAACACATCAATTGATTGCCTCCTGCACAAGCCCCGACCAGGCCCTAAGCCTGGGGAGGAGCCTGCAACCAAGGTATGTGCCCTTGACCTGAATCGAACCCAGGACCCTTTGGTCTGCAGGCTGACACTCTATTCACTGAGACAAAAAGGCTAGGGCTGATTTGTATTTAGTTGAAAACATAACTCCAAAGGTTATGGCTCTATTAGTCTGCAGGATATTAATAAAGTTTGTATGCTATTGAGTAATCTTATTTTACAGCACTCTCCCTTTCAATGACTACATATACAAATCAGTACCTAGTATCAAGATACTGTTACCAGCCAACATTCCCACCTTAGTCAGTTACTATGTATTTCTTTGAGAATTCTGTCTAACTTCTTGAAACTATATTTTGACAGTTTAAAAAAAACAACCCTGGGGTATTTTTTTGTTGTTAATCCCAGCGAGTTTCAGAAATGAAAACACAAAAATCAACCCAACGAAACAAAAAATACCTCTGACAATATTTTTAAACCACAAGTCTTCAAACTGGGGAGGAAGAAAGGGTAATATAAATATATAGTTCTATTTTAGTGAGGGGGGGTGGGGGGGGGACTAGGGAAGTTAAATATGAGTATGAAAATTTACAACTGCCCCTGCCAAATGTGACCTAACATTTTTTACAATAAAACTGAGACGTCAAGGTACAAATCACTTTTCAAAAAAAAAAAAAAAAGCTGGGTAACAAAAAGGCAAAATTAAAGTGCCCTCCTACAATGAAAAACTGTGTAGCAACTGACATATTAGGCATGCTTGGCAAATATTTGGCATTTAAAAAAAGGAAGTGCCTGGCCGGCATGGCTCAGTAGTTGAGAGTCAACCTATGAACCAGGAGGTTGAGGTTCGATTCCCAGTCAGGGCACATGCACGGGTTACAGGCTTGATCCCCAGTGTGGGGCATGCAGGAGGCAGCCGATCAATGATTCTCTCTCATCACTGATGTTTCTCTCTCTCTCCCCCTCTCCCTTCCTCTCTGAAATCAATAAAAGTACATTTAAAAAATAAAAAATAAATAAAAATCAATGAATACATATCTTCGGGTGAGGATTAAAAAACATTTCTTGGGGCACAACAATTGAAAATCGCTGCAATAAAATGGAAATGTAATGCCTTCTGTTGGCATCTGTTTTCTTCAGAAAGGCACTTTCTAAAGATTGACCTCTCCTTGAAGACAGAGTGACAGTGTATATTTGTTTTCATACTTATTATCAACTTTAATGAATCAAAAAGCAATCTATTGTACAATGTAGAAACTACTGTGGTCAACAACAGGTATTAAGAAGATAGTCTTGATCTTCAAGAATCTTACAATCTAATATGGGTCATACACATGCAAGTGAATGGTGAGGTAGGAAAAGGGACAAGTCCATAAATGGGGCACACATGTGCACATATGTGAATGTGTATAAATGTAACAATGAGAATGAGTAACACAATGACACTGTCATATCCTATCCTCACAAGTGCTGAGTACAAGAGAGTACCAGAAAAATTTTGGAATCCTTAAATACTATACGCAAATATATAAATGTCTATGCAAAACTGACTCCGAATCACATATACTTCAAATCTCATGTTTCCAATAAATAACATATCACCAGCTGACCTTCCAAGTCACTAATATGTTCTCTCTCACCTGTAACAAGTTTTATCCTGGTTAGAACAATCACTAGAATAGGTTCACAAATGATTTAAAAAACTACTTTCCAGTTAAGAACCATCAACCAATCTCTAAATGTCTTGCATTTACCCCTAGCATCAGTGGCTGGCTTTAGTTAAGCACTCTCATTAGGAAAGTTAGTTTCCACCATATCATATGAGTTCCTGCTAACAATGATAATGATAAAGGATAACAAGCTTTGTTGATCTGCAGATGCAAGAAGACAAGCTAGTTTAACCCACAATTTAAAGAGCTAGCCCTGCTTACTAGCCTCCCAAATAATTGTCATGGGACTTTGGAATTTCTAACAAATTACTTAAGTCAAGAAATGCAAATATAAATATTCATAAAAACCAGTGACATTCTGAGGGAAGTAAAAAAGTGAAAGAAAAAGTGTTCTTGGAAATCAAAACGAAAAGACATTAACGTTGGCATTGAGAGAAACTGGACCCAGAAGATTACAGAAAATGACAGTGTTATCCTCGTTACAAAATTAAAAGGGGTAACCCATAGAGAGCATGCAGCATGTGAATTAAACCTCTAGTCCAACCTTTGATTTTATAGTGGCCCAGAAAGGTTGCCTTTCTTGTCAAAGGTGTCAAAGCTATGTTTTTTCCTGATTCCAAGTAACACTCCCTAATGCCACAATGCTCTGGCTGTGTTGTCTTGAGAGTTAGGAGCTAATTTTGAACTCTTAAGGTCAGCTACACAGCAGCAGGAGGAGCTATGTACTGCCATATTCAGGAATTCACATCTTTAAATGCTGAAAGGATAAAAGGGGATACACTACCCTTCTTCCAGCCAATGCAAGGATCCTTCTAATAGAATAAATTGTATGCTCATGCTACACCCCGAATTCGCATTCATTTCCCCCTTTCTGTATTTATACTTACCAATTTATCATTCCCATGATCTGTCTTCACCTCAGAACTAAGAACTAAGTCTGCTGTTGCATTCTCTGGAGGAGGCGCCTCTCCAAGAACTACCAACCCCTACAAGACACAGAGAAAATCAGCACAAGTGAGTGGTATTAAAAGTTACAAATTTAATTTAAAAGTTAATATCAAAAGGGTTAGGGGAAGGGGACCGGTTTACCAGAGGCCTTTTCCCTCATGCTATCTTTCCCAAGAGTTATTTCCACAAAAAGTCTAACAATAGCCGTAAGGTCTGAGACTCAGACCCAAGCTTCCACTTTCTTCCATTTGAATGTTTTGGCCTATATGGCTTATTACCATTTAGCATCTTTTAGATATGGAATCTTTATCACAGTATATGGTATTTTACATGATATTACCAACCAAACTATACTGTGTTAACAGCAGCAATGCAGCCTTTTTAGTTTAGTTGGTCACAAATGTGGCTTAAGTATTACCAAACTAGAAGTGCTACAGTTATAAAAGACTAGAGGCCCGGTGCATGAGTTCGTGCACCAGTGGGGTCCCTTGACCTGGTCTGTGGGATGGGGCCGAAACCAGCTCTCTGACATCCACCGAGGGGTCCCGGATTGCAAGAGGGCACAGGCCAGGCCAAGGGACTCCACCAGTGCACGATTGGGGCCAGGGAGGGACGTGGAAGGTTTGCCAGCCAGGGAGGGACCATGGGAAAGCTCCAGGGCGTGTCTGGCCTGTCTTGCTCAGTCTCAATCAACCAGATCCCAGCAGCAAGCTAATCTACCAGTCAGAGCATCTGTCCCCTGGTGGTCAGTGCATGTCATAGTGACTGGTCGACCAGTCGACTGTCTGCCCCCTGGTGGTCAGTGCACGTCATAGCGAGCAGAGCATCCTTAACATATCATTAGCATATTACGCTTTGATTGGTTGAACGGCTGACCAGATACTTATTTAGCATATTAGGCTTTTACTATATAGGATGAGCTAAAATAAATGAAGAGCAACCAAAACTACTGAATGAAAAAAAGGTGGAATAGTTCCTATAAAGAAACCACGAACTATTTAAAAAAGAAAAAACGAAGGTATTCCAAAGGCACCTGTTTCTCATAAGCATAAATATTACTCTAGATTAGTTTTCTGCTTGACAATTCAAATTCAGAAAATACATTCATTCCAAGAAATTAAAAAAATGTGAAAAGACCCAATTTACACGCCTCCAAAATCCTCTCCATAATCAGCATGGGCCAGCTTGGTTAAAGCAAAAGTTTACTATAAAAAATAAACAAACAAAAACAAAAAACCACACACATGAATCCTCCCATGAATTCAAGTAAAGGTGACCAAAATCAGGTTATAATGTTGTGGAAAAGAAAGACTGATGAAAGTGACTAGCGCTTTGTGGCTTTGGTTCTCTTTCTCTGGTCTAGAAAACGAAAAAAATCTAACTTGATAAGAAGACCTTAACAGAAATTTTGTATTAAATTACCTGGGGAAACTTATCAAATGATACCTACCCAAGTCCGACATCAAATCTATTCAGAATCTCTAGGGGGAGGGGCTGAATTTTTAAATAACTTCCCTGGTAAATCCTAACATAAACTCTAAACTGAAAACAAACAAACAAACAAAAAAAAACTTGATCTTGATCAGTTTTGATGCAGCATCAGAATCCTCCAGATAACATCCTAAAATACAGATTTCAGGGCCTAGCGATTTTGACTGCATCAACTTGGCCTCCCTAGGCCATCATAATTGGCAGGCTCTTGTGAGCCAATGAACCAATGATCCATCCCTGAGGTCCTTTCTAACTCAAAAATCTCCATGGAATGAAAGGAGGAGGGGAGACTTTAAGAAGGACAATGAAAATTTTTACCTCCGTTTAACATCTTTTTTTCCCCAGAAAGCAAGAGAAACAGAATTTACCTAATCTGGATTAAGACCATACCTAGCCTGCATAGAAAATGATGTGCAGACTCCTCAGAAAAGAGGGAAAGGTCATTAACTAAGCAAGAAACATTTGGCCTGGCCTTCAAAATCAGGTTTCTCTGGCTAAAAAAAAACTGCTGCTGCCAAATAGTTTCTTGCCTGAATCACAAGCATAAAAGTAGACTTCATAAACTTTATCATTTAAAAGTAAAAACTATTTGTAAAAAGCAGCTATCTTGCACACAATTCCCTTCTCAAAATACTGCATTCAGCATCTTCCCTGCTTAAGAGCCTAAACCACCTCCCCATCCTATATAAAACTAGCCCCATTCTCCCTACCTTATTTACCTATTTCTAGTTTCTTTCTCCAAATATAGTTACAGTTATATCAGTCTCATTATCCCCTTTAAAAATGTTTGGATGTATATGAACTTGTTGCTGTTGAGAGGTGGAGGCTATTATAAAGTAGTATGTAATCAAATGCAATTAGAGGTTACAATACTACCTGTTTTTATGTCTTTATTCCTATTGATTCTGCCCCTTATATTTATCTAAAACGTCATTTGTCCTTTCAAAGAGCTTGTCAAGTCCATGTCCCATCTCCTTCCAAGAAAATGTCCCTGGTTAACCGAGCCCCTACTTGCTTTATCCACATTGTCAAACTTCCTAAAGCACCAAAATTGTATCTTACATCCTGTGTATTTAAATCTCATTTCCAGATAAAAACTTTCGGCCAAATTATTTCATTTCTTTTTGCTTCAATTTGCTGTTTAAATGTTAACTAATGGTAAGATCCTTGAAGAATAAAAAACACAACACAAATATATTTGAGCCCCCCAACATTTCCTAGCAGAATCATACACCAAGAAAGCAAATACATAAAAAAAATTTGAGTTTTTATGTTAAAAATTATTTTCCTCAAACAAGAAAACATTAAATATAGCCAAGAGCCTAAATAAATTCTACTATTAGATACAGTATAAAGCTACTCCATCAATTTTTCTTTTTAGGTAAGGTAAATCAGGATATAACAGGCTATGTTTCCAAAGGGAAAAATTTTCCCTTAAACTACTGAGTAATTTCTAAAAAAATACCTCTCTGACAGACTGCAAAGACACCCTCCTAAGAAAGCTTTAGAAGATTTGGTAGGGACCACTTATTCGACATCATTTTATAGAACAGAGATGATACAGGTCAAAGGTCATGTGCCAATAGGCCAATCCAGGCCAAACTAGGGCTAAAGGCAAAGAATTACAGTGACAATACTACAGAAGAAGTTTAGAGAAGATAACGGAGAGCAGGAAAGAGATAGAGCCTAAGTAGAGAGGCTAATGGAAGTAGGGCTTTACAGAAGAGGTCAATATGATTACTTAAAATTCCTTAAAATATCTTTATATATAAAAGGCTAACATGCAAAGTGTCCCCTCGGGAGTTCAACCGCTAGTTCTCTCACTCGCTATGACGTGCACTACCACCAGGGGGCGACGCAGAACGAAGGAAGCAGGAACCAAAAATGAAGTAATGACTATCTTCTCACATAGCTTAATTGAGACTGTAAACTGAGTCAAAAAATTTCTCTCAAGCATGCATCAGGAACATAAAAGTATTCATACTGTGACATAGGTGAGAATGTTTATTGTGCGTGCTTTATAATACAGGCATACCTGGTTTTATTGCAGTTCACAAATAATGAAGTTTTTACAAAGTGAAAGCAAGAAGACTCTCCACTTTACTGAGGTAGTTTAGAACGAGCCTGTGGTATTTCTGAGGTATGCCTGTATAATTTTAATAAAGTACATAACTGAAATAATCAACCAAGAAGGGTAATAAAATATAGTCAGTAAAAATATATTCAAAAAAATGACAGAAAAATGTCCAGGGTTCCCATGTAAATGACTATATTTAAAGAAATTACTTACATGCATAGAAAACTAATAGTGAAATAAGACATGCCCAAATGTTGAGCTTGGGTTTTGTTTTTTGGGTGTCTTTTTTTAAAGACTTTTTTAAAAAGAGAAGTTTTAGGTTACAGCAAAACTGAGAGAAAGGGATATTTTGTCTTGAAGTGTGTTCACTGGTTTCTGTTCTGAAAGAGCTGCATTTAATACCAGTCTCTGCACATGACACACATCATGATCTCAGCTTTTCAAACTGCTAATCATTGGACTTGGTTTTGAAAAATAATGCAATATATTTTTTGTCATTCGTGAGCTAATGGCCATTTATGAAAAATACTGGGAGTCAGAGGAAATCACCATGACACTAAGAAGAATCATGGGGGTGTTTCATGAACAAGAATCAAACTGATACCTTAGTAATGAAAAACCAACAGACACCAACTCAGTAGGATCTTATGTTAAACCTGGGAGCCTTTGGGCCTTTTTATAATCTTCGGAGCATTTCTAAATAGAAATAAATTCTTACTTTAAAAACTTAAAAAAGAGAAAGGTGCCCCCCCTTTCCTCTTTTATACTTCCCTGTATTTTGCAACTTTCCTAAGAAATGATAACACAGTTTTTCATCAATTCTAAGGCATACTTTTCCAATCTTAACATCTTTTAAATCAGAATGTACCTTAACAATTGATGGGATGTCTTAGTTTAATTGAAATCATTTTTTAGTGGCACATAAAATAATGGTGCATCTTACAATTAGTAGCATATTCAAGTCTATGAAATATAGTAATTTTATAATGGGGAACAACTAGCAAAACATATGCACACATATTTATGAATGTATATATAAAAAAGGCAACAAATATGATTACCATTGTACTACTCTCAGTTGTTACTCAGAGACTCTTGTTCTCAAATATGGAAGTTCCCACTTAACTACTGGCTATAATAACCTACAGACACTGAAGAAAAGTCCCTGACAGAGCAAAACTTTTTTCCCCACTCAGGATAGGCATATCCAGTCATTCCTATCACCATTCCAGCTCACGTTCTACAATCTCACTGAATTTCCCTTGTGAAGAAGAGCAAAAGAAAGCAAAATATTCGCCACCCTTGGAGAATATTTTTAGTTTTAACTCTTCATTTTCTCTAATTTTTAAAGTAGTCAGGATTTAATTTGTTCCTTATTCTAAAGGAACAAATAATGTTTTTTTGTTTTTTTTTAAGTTAAGTCTTCTGGACTTTGCCCTCAATTATAACATGTTTTACTGAACTTTTGGAGAATTACAAATAGACTATTTGGGAAGAAGCTGGAAGAAGTGGAATTTTTTAAATAAAAACTTAAAGGGGTTGGGGGGCTATAAAACTTTTACTTCAATCTCTCATCATTTTGTTCATCTTGTCAATTGGTCATCCTTTAACTTTTGGTCTACATTAATTTAATGCACAGAGTTCACAGCACAGCAATTTTCTGAGGGTTTTGACCAGCACTAAGATAGGACAAAAACATGTCGTGACACTTAATTTTAGGAGCAGTAGGTTCTCCATCTAGACCAGCGGTGGCCAACCTTTCAGACCTCGTGGACCACCGGTTGGCCACCGCTGATCTAGACCCACGTGTGCAGTCATGACGCTCAAGTGCATCAAGTGAATACAAAAAATACCTTGCAAGAATTTCATTTTCACAAAAGTAGGATTTTTATTTACCACTGTGACTTCACTAAGGAGAACAGTGCTTAGTATACAATAGGCACTCAACTATTTGTTAAATGGATTTATTTTCCATATACACTTAACCCTCAATCAAAGCCAAACCGAGCAGAGAATTCTTCTAAGTTGAATTTTAAGAAGAAAAACTACACACAGTGTCACTGTCAAAGATAAAAGTGTGCACTAATAATCAGCTCTCTGCAGATAGGAGGACACAAGAAAATCAAATTCTTAACCATCAATGTCTAATTCTGTCTGAACAACTTTTCAGGAAAGACCCTATTTTGCCTCAAGAAAGCAAGGGAAACTTAGTTATTGGGAAAAGCAGAATGCATCTATGTAAAAAAAACAAGATGAAATTTCTTAGTCATGACCATTTTTCCATAAATATAACAAATGACAGTTAATAGTCAATGGCATACATTATCTAGGTTTTTATCTTATGTTTCCTGTTAGCTCAGGTATAAAAACTGATTCGTTTTAAACAGATGTTCAATTTATCATTGTATTCTAGCAGTGTTATCTGCACTCCACTAAGCAACATCAGGCTCTTAAACAAATTAAACCACTATATCAGATCATATTAAACCATTCTCTTTGACATAGCTAAGTCATCGAGGGACAGGAGAAAAGGTATAATGGTAGTTTTTAGCTGGGCTGAAAAAGACCAGACACTTTTATCCCTTACCTTATTAGCACGTATCTGTTTGTAAATATCTGTTTGCTGCCGAATTCGATATTCCAAGTCTGAAACATGAGCCTGAAGCCAGTTCCAGCGGCTGACAATAGCCGCTCGGTCTGCAGCCCATCTCCATTCCGACCTGCGCCTCCTATAAGGAAATAAACTGAGTGAAATCCAAGAGTAGCAGCAACGTTTTTTTAATAGTACACTATGACTATTTAAATATCACAACAATCACAAAACCAAATTATTTGCTTCTGTATAGCTACAGTAATGCCAAGAGAGAGAGATGAGATTGGAGGATAGGAAATCAATGTGGAGTTTCATTTGATTCATTTTGCTATTTGCAATAAGAATATCCTCTTGTATCATTTGTGTGTTTAAATATTTTTGGAATGAAAACTTTTAGAATGATAATGGCTGCAGGCTATCATGTTAAAGCAAAACTAGACTCTTACTATTCTTACCCAAAGTTCAACAATTTTTACTAAATAAATCCTCCTCAAATTTGTTGTACGCCTTTGGTCTATTCCAAAGCCCTGAAATAATTGTTTTGCAGTAAGCATTTTATACAGTTTTATAGTTGTTTTGGGGGAAGAGGATTTGCCAATCTTTTCACCCACCATTGCTAGAACTCAATCATTTCATTTTTACTTGAGTTGATTTTTTTTTTTGAGCCAATGTTTTTATTTTTATGGAGTCTGTATTATCTTCCCAGGGTTACCATAACAAGGTATCCCAAACTGGGTGGCTTAAAAGAACAGAAGTGTATTTTCTCATTGTTACAGAAGCTAGAAGACCGAAATTAAGGTGTCAGCAATGCCATGCTTCCTCCCAAGGATGTGTCCTGTGCCTTCTCTTAGCTTCTGGTGTTGTCAATCATTGGTGTTCTTAGCTTGTGGATGCATCACTCTAGTCTCTACCTCTGTGATCACATGGGGTTCTCCCTGTCTGTCTTCATGTCTTCTGTGTGTGTGTGTGTGTGTTTATAGCAGCAACATTTATACTAAACAAGAGGCCCAGTGCACAAAATTCGTGCACGGGTAGGGTCCCTAATGGCTGCTGGCCGGGGCCTCCCTTCCCCTGGCTGCCTGCTGCCCCTGCCGGGCAGGGTGGAGCCGGCCAGGGTAAGGGGCCGTGGGCGGTTGGCTGGCCAACCCAGCCCCTTGGTCGAACTCCCGGTCGAAGGGACATTTTACATATTAGGCTTTTATTATATAGGATGGGGGTGGAAGGTTTTTAACATCTCAAGGCCCTTACGTAGACCAACTCTATTGCTAAGAAAAATCAAAGATTTTGTTTGTCTGCCTCTCAGGACACACAATGATAAAACTATTCACATACAGATAGATATTCCCCAAATAACTAATTGAAACTGCTTTCTAGTATCCTGATCTTGTGACACATAATTTCTCTGAAATGGTTTTAATTCCCCAGGAAATAGAAATATTTTCTACTTTAACATAAGACATATAATCAAGAATTCAGCAATGTTGCCAAGAAAAAAATACTCATTAAAAAAACCTATTCACAACACCAACAAATGGTAATATTATACACAAAAGATCTTTACAGAGAAAATAATAAAACCTAAAAAAAACAACAACCCAGAAAGACCTACATAAATAGTGAGATTTTTTTCAAAAGATAGCAATTTCACATATATCTATAAATTCTAATAAATTCCAATTCCCTACAGGGTTTTTTAAAAATAAACTTTATTTATTGATTGATTTCCGACAGAGGAAGTGAGGGAGAAGGTGAGAGAAACATCAATTTATTGTTCTACTTATTTATGTATTCATTGGATGGTTCTTTTTGTTTTTAATCCTCACTCAAGAATATTTTTCCCCATTGATTTTTAGAGAGTGGAAAGAAGGGAGAGGGGGGGGGGGGGGGAGAGAAGGGAAGAGAGAGGAGACACATCGATTGGTTGCTTCCTGCATGCGTGCAGACCATGGCACAGAGCCAAGCCCACAATCGAGGTATCTGCCCTTGACTGGAATCAAACCCAAAACCTTTCAATCCACAGGTCGACGCTCTATACACTGAGCCAAACTGGCTAGGGCTGATTCTATTTTAAAAACTATTTATTGATTTTTTTCTTTTTGAGAAAGAGAGAACTATCAATGTGAAAGTGAAACATACATCAGCTTTGCTCCCAACTGGGGATCGAGTCCACAACCCAGGCATATACGGAGTGGGAATCACACTGGTAACCCCCCAGGTGCATTGGACAATACCCAATCAACTCCAGTGGTCGGCAAACTGCGGCTCGCGAGCCACATGCGGCTCTTTGGCCCCTTGAATGTGGCTCTTCCACAAAATACCCGCGCGGGCACCGCACGTACAGTGCGACTGAAACTTCCTCGCCCACCCCAGAAGTCAGTGTTCTGTGGAAGACCCACACTCAAGGGGCCAAAGAGCTCCATGTCCCCCCGACCCGCAGTTTCCCCCCACTGAACTAAACCACACCAGCCTAGAAGGATGATTCTTGTATGTGTCCTGACTGGGATTGAATCTGCAGTCTTGATGTATTGGGATGATGCTCTAACCAACTGAGCTACCTGGCCAGGGCCCCAAAAGGGATTTTAATGGAAGCTGACAAACAGAACCAAAAACTTACACAGAAAAAAGGAGCAAAAGTAGAGAAATTCTGAAAAAAAAAAAAAAAAAAGATGAAAAAAATCGTATTACACAATTACAGAAAACTAAGATAATTAAGGCAGTCTAGAAAGACAAAAGACCTATGTGACAGAATACAGAGCCCCAAAACTTAAAACTGAATATACAAAAAATGGCATTTATACCAGTGGGGAAATACTGAACTACTTAACAAATGGTACTGAACTGGCCAGTTCTTTACATGGAAAAAGTAAAATTAGATCCCTTCTTCATGATATACTTGCATAATTTTAGAGATTCTCAATCTGAAAAGCCAAACTTAAAACAAAAGAAGAGTATCTTTGGAACTTCAGGGGAATGATTTAAATAAAACAATAAAACAACACACATAGCTAAAGATTAAATATCAAAATATATAACTACAGTAAGGTTAAAAAAATGAACAAAGTGAAAATTCACATAAGAGAATTCCAAATGGCCAATACATACATAAAAATATGCCATGTCTTGTTAGATTTTGGTTAAAATATTAGCATTAGGTCAAATATTAAAAAGTAGTTTTAAACTCAGCTTGGAAAAACCAGGTGTCAGTGAAATGTAAAAATCAACAATTCATGATTTACTAATAACAATAAAAACTGGCACGACCACTTTTGAAGAGCAATTTGGAAATATTGTACTTGGGTAGGTGGAAAATGTGCATACCCATCCATCATGAAATTTTATTCAGAGAACATAACCTATATATCTGTAAGCACAAACGTTCATTGCAATAGAATCTGTTACAACTAAAAATCAGTTAATCTAATCTGCTAAAGTATGAAAATAGATAAACTATAATTTATTCCTTTCATAAAATTTTCTATAGTAATAATATTAACTAGAACTATCTGTATCAACTATCTGTATCAACATGACTATATCTCAGAACAATGTTCAATGGAAAAACTAAAAACAAAATAAACAAAAATAAATACTATAATAGATACACACCAGTAGAGGAATTCATGGAATACTGTTTATCAGTTTAATTATTATTACATGTATCAACATGACTAAATCTCAGCAATGTGAAATGAGAAAACTACAAAAACTAAAAAAGAATAAACATACAATAAAGATTGTAATCTACACTAATAAAAGAGAAACATGGTAATTGGCGTACGACCGCTACCCTTCCCATTGGCTAATCAGCATATCCTTATGCAAATTAACTGTCAGCCAAGATGGCGACCGGCAGCCAGGCAGCTGGAAGCGAACATGAGGCTTGCTTGCTCCAGTGACTGCAGACTCCAACGTTCCCCGCCTGACTTGCCGGCCTCTGAGTTGCAACTCTAAGCAACTATGTACTATGTTGCAAATAAGAAGCTAAACAAAACCCCAGAAACCAGCTTTCAGCCTGCCGGGATCTCAGAGCTGAAGTTATACATTGTTTCGATTATAGAACGGCAAACAAACCAGATATGAAGCCTCAGAGCTAGAGCCAGAGCTAAAGCTGGCCCAGAATAAAATAAAAAAAGAGAAAAAAAAGGAGCGGTTGGGAGCTTCAGTCAACAACCGCCAGCCTGAAAGCAGCCCTCAGCCCCTCACCCAGACTGGCCAGGCACCCCAGTGGGGACCCCCACCCTGAAGGGTGTGTGACCAGCTGCAAACAGCCATCATCCCTTCATCCAGGCTGGCCAGGCACCCCAGTGGGGACCCCCACCCTGATCCAGGACACCCTTCAGGGCAAACCAGCCAGCCCCCAGGCCTCTATCCTATATAGTAAAAGGGTAATATGCCTCCCAGCACCGGGATCAGCGTGACAGGGGGCAGCGCCCAAACCCCCTGATCGACCTGCAGCTGTGTGTGTGACAGGGTAGAGCCATAACCTCCCCATCGGCCCTGCCCTGAGTGTGACAGTGGCGGCGCCCCAACCCCCTGATCCGCCCTGCTCTGTGTGTGACAGGGGGTGGTGCCCTAACTCCCCTATCGGCCCTACTCTGTGCGTGACAGGGGGGAGCTCCCCAACCCCCTGATGGGCCCTGCTCTGTGTGTGACAGGGGGGAGTTCCTCAACCCCCTGATCGGCCCTGCTCTGTGCATGACAGGGGGGAGCTCCCCAATCCCCTGATGGGCCCTGCTCTGTGCGTGACAGGGGGTGGCACCCCAACCCCCCAATCGGCCCCACCCTGAGCGTGACTGAGGGTGGCATCGCAACCTCCCAATCCGCCCTGCTCTGTGCATGACAGGGGGAGGCGCCCCAACTCCCCAATCAGCCCTGCTCTGAGCCCGACCAGGGGCTGCACCTAGGGATTGGGCCTGCCCTCTGCCACCCAGGAGCAGGCCTAAGCCAGCAGGTCGTTATCTCCTGAGGGGTCCCAGACTGCAAGAGGGCACAGGCTGGGCTGAGGGACCCCCCCCCCCCCCAGTGCACAAATTTTTGTGCACCGGGCCTCTAGTAAATAATAAATGTATAAAAACATGCCCAGGCCGACCAGTGTGGCTCAGTGGTTGAGTGTTGACCTATGAACCAGGAGGTCAT